GTTTTCCCTACAAATAACGCTCTACAAGTTTCCTTAATGCTTGAACCGTAAATAAGTTCATGGTAAATAACCTTCCACCGAATATCGTCCGATAACCTCTTCATTTTAATCAGTAAACTAGTAAAATCAACAAAGAACAGCCTACGAACACTAAAAGCGATTTAAAGTGCGCGCGCTTGTCAGTGTTTGTCACGCTATTTATTTTTCAACTGTTTCGTTGTAATTGTGAGCTGAGAAAGTTAAGTAAACCGAAACTAGTTTTTACAATAAGTTCGTTTTGTAGTGCGATCACAAACCGTAGGAACTTAGCCCACAGACATACATTAACCATGGTTTTTATACTTGGATAATTTTTCCCGCTTCAAGCTGTGCCAGGTTACCAAGTGGTCGAGTGAATGACAGTCGAGTGAAAGTTTAGCGTCCGAAAAAAAATCGAGAGTTCGCACTCATTTGAAATCGGGTGTAAAAACGCAAAACAGTGACGTCTTTAAATTGTAGCATAGTTGCTCGACTAATATCGCTGACTGCATGCGAAAGAAACAACTTCGGGGCGTTTTCGATCCATACCATTCAAAAAATTTTCATTATTCCACTGTTTTTTGCTGACATTTAGAAAGAGTTTGAAAAAAAATATTATTATTATGTTTCCTTATTAAGTAATATGTATAGTTTAAAACACGATCTCGAGTGTTTTAAACGGCTTCAAAGACTCCAACACTAATTTGAAACTCAAATCCTTTAAAATTCTTGGAGAAATTGCCGTACAAATATGTTCATAGATAAATGGGGCAAACTGATCATGCGCGAATCACTTTACAAAGCACTATTTTCATCCCACATTGAATACACATAAATTAAAATAGAACCGCTCTTGGCATGTTCACTGAAATCGGTTGACATCCTGCATTGGTCAATGATCAGGTTTCAAACCTGAGACCTTTGCTAGGGTCATGGACCTTTATATCTGATAAAGGTCACCCTTATTAGTATTCTTTATATAAAGAATACTAATAAGGAGTGTTTTATCAGATATAAAGGTCCATGCATGTGACCAAATAGGCTCATTCTATTGGCCTAGTAGCTCATTAATTWTGTATGAGTTTTTTAAATATCACATAAAAGACATTGTCTTTCACGAACAATACTGGCTGCTGAMCCATTTATCTGGTTATCATTTATCGATTTTGCCATGATAATACTGTTTCATTATTTTCAGTCCTCAATAATACGTATGATATCTCATATTTATTATATAGGCTGATTTACACGGTACGATTTGTCGAGCGCGACTTGTAGTATACGATTTTCCTACTACAAGTCGTAGGATTTTAAGCAGTTGTTCAAAATCCTACTACAAGTCGTAGGTTGCGTACGACTGTTGTAGACAAGTCGCGCGCGACAAATCGTATCGTAATCAGCCTTATGACTTAGATATTACGCGCGCTCTGATTGGGTGAAAACTGGTCCGTGAAATCGCGTATCCAGACCGCGAGTCTATCTTTTTTCGTATCCGGACCGGAAATTGCTAATTTGATGGTTGTGCGGTAAGTTGGACCGAGGGAATCAAGACAACTTTGTTTATCAGATTTGAGACTTTCTTTGCAATAAAAAAAATTCAGTTTCAAAATCCATTTCTAATGACATGAAAGATAGATGGTTCAATTTCAACTACTCCTGCCTTTTTGTCCGCACTCCGTCTTAGCACTTGACTTTCCCGCTCTTTTCCGAGTTGACCGTACCGGTTGTTTTCAATGCCAACGGCATCAATCCATCTTAGAAATGCTCGATAAGTATTCACCGCAATTCAAAGATAGACCAAAAAGGATTATATTGGAAGAAAAACTCAGTGAAGTTAAAGCTCAAAAGAAGACAGAACATAAGTCCACAAACTACTCAAAACAGAAGTGAAAAGCCGAAGAGATTCCAACCCGTGTCTTGGCAAGAATGAAATGTTCCTCTTATAAAGTCTACTTTCCTCGATTCAATGAATCCTCGCGGGTTACTGGTAAAAGAAAGCAAATTGTAATTCTATATTGAGGGACATCCACAAATCTACACCGGCGGCCGCGACGATAGAAGAATCAGTGAAAATTTGTGAGTAATCCGTAATAATAATGTATTTGAGTATGAAAATAAACTGAATCTATCAAACAAGGAGCCAAAATCCCTGTCGTTTTAGCCGACAATTACTGAAAATATGATGATTTCTGTGTCATTTTACTCATATCGTTAGATATCGTGAGAAAAGCGGTGCTATTAGATAGAGGGAGGCAACGGGTTGTACTTTGAGTAATTTTTCTACATAATCTACGAAGTAAAAGTCATATAATAAACGAGTTATTAACCTGGCCTGCTCGATCTCGCTGCGCTCGGTCCGTACTGTCAAGACCTCGGTCTGATATTTTCCCGTACAGACCTCGCGTTCGGTTAATAACCTCTTAATATCTATTCATACACCATGACACAGAGGGGAAAGGGAATGTCGATTCATTCCTTTTAGTCATTCCTAGCTAACCTTGACAGAGTCCACAACTGTAGCGACAATTTTGATTCACATATGGTTTCCAGCTCTCAGAGRAACAGATCCAACCATTCGTTTCACAAAACGATGGCCATACGTCTCTACAAACTGAAATGAAAAATTGGAATAACGATATTTGGAATGCACATTTTAAAAATWTATCCTTAACATTTGGCAGAGCAATCCTGTATTTCAATTAATGTCCTATAATTACTGCACAAAATTCCATTTATACGTATTCGTTGATTCCCATGCCAAACCATTCATCRTTACACACAAAAAGATAAACGTCTTATTGGCTCTTGGCATTTCAGGCCCTACCAAAAGCATATCTATTTCACCTCAGTCCGAAAAAGAATATGGATGTGAACGTACACTGAAAAAAATATARAATCTTACCGATGTCGCTGCTACGTTCAACTGGTRTTACGCGGTTTTCTTGTCCTGCAAGTAGATATCGTGATGAAACCTTATMACTTTTATTCATCCTCATGATATGTAGAGTTGTTTCAGCGACATTTTTAAATTAAAGCACCTGTTACTCGGTAAAATAAACTTTTTTCGAACTTAAAAATATTTTGCTTTCCAAAGGAGTGTATTTTTCCTCGCTCACATATTGAAGTACTCTGAGAAGAACCCTCATGTCATGTTTCTATATAATATTTTTGTGTTGTCTTTCATGGATTTAACATACTACTGACTATTGGTTTGAGATATCCTAACGATGGCATTAATTTCATAATTGAGGGTTAAATGTATTTAATGTGTTAATTGTGCCTATTTCAACTGAATCTAAATTGTGCGTAAGCATAAGGCTTTGATAAACACAACCAGAGAAATTGCTTGCTACAGACGTCGTTACAACCTAAAAGGTACCTCCGATCGTCTTCATAATATTTCCAATATTTKCAGGCAATAATATCAAGAAAGCAAAATCTAAGCAAAATAAGTGCCTTTTTAGCATCAAGGGCATCTCCTGTGGACTTTAATTGATTCCCTACCTGGACAAGCATATKTGTTGCAGGTTTGCGATTCCCAGTGTTTGCCTCTGCAGCTTCTTCCACCATTTCTGGGCTGGGGACTGTTGCACTGACGATAACGATACCTAATTCCACCACCACATGTTACGGAACAATGAYCCCATGTAGCCCATGCACTCCATCCACCATCAACTGAGGAATGAAAAAGGAAGAAGGAATTGAAAATCAAATGAAAAAATCAAATTGGAATTGCTCCAGCAACCTCATCTTTCACTTTAATTTGCCCTTYAGAGCTTTCTAACTCCTAGACCATCACGAGCGCACGGGTGTCGAAAGCTTTCCATACCCAGCTTGAGTGATCATGAACAAAGTATTGAACCGAGGCGTCAAGGTAAAGTGAGCATAAAAGAAAAGATCTGTGATCAGTGTTCCTTGACGCCTCGGTTCAATGCTTTGTTCGTGGCCACTGAAGCTGGGTATGGAAAGTCGTGAATGGGCTCTTGTAATATCATGTGGTAAAGAAAACGTACGAAGGAATYTTTTAATCGGAAAAATGTTTTTATTGCATATACTATCTTCTGATATTAGGCATTTTGRTGAATTAAATTGTTTTTAAACAATATTATAGACTAAAAAAACTTAGATGTAAAATAAACTTAAAATCTCTTTTTTTTCTGTGGCTTGGTGTGTTAAGGGTGGCCTCTTTAATWATCGGTTCAATATCAGACCATATCATGCTCCACGAAGTGCCATTCTTATTAAAATTTTCGTTTAGCGAGAACTGAAAATTGGACTATATAACATTGCATAATTAAAGAGGGCATCYTTGCAGTTGCAATCTTGTAGTTCATGCTCCAGTGTTTACCASAACACTTGCACTTCTCATGATGTGTTATCATACAATTGCAAGCCAATACCGGAAAACTACGAACTTCTTACCTTGACAACGTCGTAGATTGCATTGCTCCCGCTGCCTAGCTAGACCGAGTCTCCTGCAGTCTCTTCCACCATATTGGGGTCTGGGATTAGTACATGTACGYGARCGGTACTGGTATCCTCTCCCACATGTCGYAGAACATCTGGTCCATCTGGACCACGACGAGTATCCACCGTGAACTATGAATAATAAGATTAATCATCAAAACAAGCACTTTTGTCAGCCGAAAGATGAAGCGCATATATTATTCTAACTTATCTTTATCTTCAGGAGCAAGTTGTAGGCTTGCAAGAATGGACAAGTGAAACATACACTGAGCACATTTACTTTTTTACCTCCTGAGAGTTCAGATTTAGCATACAAAATGAGTATTGGCGGTAAATTGCAGATAAGCCGGAAGACACTGTCATAGAACTAGAGGAGAAACCTGATGTTGACATAATATAGAAAACAAATGACATTCTTACCGATAGGCACATGCTGAGCGCCGTTAAGTCCACGGTTATCTTGCTCTGCAATTATACATTAGTGGCACATTATCAGTTTATTTATTTATTTTGTCTAGCACTTCCTTTGCGTTTTTGGTTTATTTCTCGTTACCATGCCTACTTTGCTCCTATTGGTCTATTTTCTTTTCTACTCTTACTATATAAACTCACACTATACCTAGTTCCATCTCTTTACTCCGACGAAGGATTAACGTCCGAAACGTCAGTAAGTTATTTCACATACTTTTTTTACGGTGTTTAATTTATCTTTTTACACAACTGTTTCTTTAGAAACACCGACGCAGCTCACTCTAGTTTACCGCTAGTTCCCACCATATATCTATCAATATCTATCATACACAATGACACAGAGGGAAAAGAAAAGTTAATTCATTCCTTTCGGTCATTCCTAGCTAACCTTGGCATAATCCACAACTGTAGCGACAATTCTGATTCACATATGTTTTCCAGCTTCCCTCGTAGCAAATCCAAGCATTCGTTCTACAAAACGATGACCAAACGTCTCTACAAACTAAAATAAAAAACAATGGAAGTACGTTATTTGGAATGCACATTATGCAAATTTATCCTTAACACTTGCCAGAGCAATCCCACGGCAAATCATTCATCATTACACACAAAAAGGAAAACGTCTTATTGGCTCTTGGTATTTCAGGTCATATCATTGTACATACAAAGTACAGTCCGAAAAAAGAAATAAAAAACGGATGTGGACATACATTGACAAAATATATAATCTTACCGATACGCATGTTGCCGCTACGTCCAACTGGTGCTACGCCGTTTTCTTGTTCTGCGATTAGATATCAATGACGTCACTTTATCAATATAATTACTCTCTCCATGATATTTAGGGTGTGTTTAGGCTACGTTTTTTAGATTAAGGCACCTGTTACTCGGCCAATATCTTTAAAGATGAGTGAAATAATTTTTTTTTCGAACTCAAAATATTGTGCTTTTTAAAGAGTGCCATTTTAAAAGCAAGGGGAATTACTTTGGACGAGCGCAAGGCTGTCGGAAGCTTCCACTAGATAACTATATTTGCTATATTTTATGGGCCCTTGCATTATAATGTGATAAAGGAAAACGTATGAAGGAATGTTCTAATCGGATAAATTTTCCTTATTGCCGATAGAGTGAAACCCCTCTTTACCGGACACATTTTCTTTTTACTTCACTGACAGTTCAGGTCAGCATACAGAATGGTCATTATAGACTATCATAGAACTAGAAAATAAACCTGATGTGGACAAACATTGAAAATACGAGATTCTTACCGATTTGCACGTGCTGAGCTCTGCCAACTTCCGTTACGCGGTTTTCTTGCTCTGGAATTAGTTATTGGTGACACAGTATCAGTTTATTTCATCCTCAAAGTATTCATGGTTTGTCTATGTCACTAGATTGAGCCCGGCAGTCGACTGTATTTGTTCAAATTTAATTTTTCGCAAAACTCTACCCAACTCGTTCTCATTTCTCTTTTTCTAAAACTGTCGTATCGACAAAGAGTTTCCATGTAAAGAATAATATGTTCTCATACATTTTCACTAGCGAAAATAACACATTCACGGTAGTAAGAAAGTGGAAGTAAGAAAAAACATATTTTCCGACAGAATTTGCTTTCATATTTGATTATATGATAAACAGAATATTACATGCTTTGAAATACGAATTTTATCTTTTCGTGAGAGATCGTTTCGCTACGCTTACTCGTGAGAGATCTTTTCAACACTCGAAGATAAAATGCGTATCTCCGTGCGCCCATGTAACATCCTCTTATTCCAATATTTTCAATTACTAATATTATTAAGAAGCGTTTGCAAGAAGCTAATTGTCATGAGAGTATTATATCGCATATTATTTATCATAAAAATGACACAGAAGTAGGGAGGAGCAAATGTCGATTCATTTCTTTCAGTCATTCCTAGCTAACCTTGACAGAGTCCACAACTGTTGCGACAATTCTGATTCACATATTCTTTCCAGCTCTCAGAGGAACAGACCCAAGCATTCGTTCTACAAAACGATGGCCACTTGTCTTTACAGACTAAGATTTAAAAATTTTGAACGCACATTTATCCTTTAAAATTTGCCAAATCAATCTTGAATTTCAAAAACGTTATAGTTGCAGCAAAAAGGATATTTGTACGTACAGTATTTGTTGAATCCAACGGGAAAGCATTAATCATTACACACAAAAACATAAAATTCTTATTGCCGTCATTTATTGCGTTGTCTTTCACGCACTATATTAACTACTGATAGAGCCATTTAGAGTGGTTTTCATCGAACTGTGAAACAATTACTATTAGTCAGTGTTTAATAGTGTCTAATAGTTGTATTCTAATAAAAGAAAACAATGGGTGTAGAGTCTACTAGCGTCTATTTGCGTCTATTAGCTCAGGAACTATTTCACAGTCCGATGAAAATCACTCTAGCTTGAGACAGTCTATACTGAGTATCAGGCCCTCAGGCTTGATACCTGGAGCCAACATTGTTTGTCTAGTTCAAGCAACATCTAGAAGAACTAAAATTGTGCATTTTGGCATTAAAAAAAGAAGATTTTGAGTTCATATAAACATTATATGATAGACTAAAAGATACCTCTCATCGTCATCATGATATGCCAAATTCGATAAATACAGGGAATGATTTACAAGGTCTACATTGCGTCTTATAGTAGGGTTAGGTTAGGGGAGCTAGGATGGCCGAGCGGTTAAAACGCCGGTCTATCACCGCTGTGGTCCTGGTTCGATTCCCGGTCCGGGACTATATGTGATTTGAGTTTGTAGGCTGGTTCTCTTCCTTGCTCCGAGGGTTTTTCTCCAGGTCCGCTGGTTTTCCTCCCTCAGTCAAAAACTAGCTGTGAGGAGTATCGTGTAGTAAAATAATGAATGTTGAGGTAGTGAGTATGAGTGAATATCTAGAGGGACACAAGTTTATTAGTCTAGAGACTATTACGTGCTATCCTCTCAAAATAAAAGACTTTATTTAGGGTTTCTAGTATAGGGGTAATTTTACCCTCCAGTCGGAATGCCTAGGTATATTTCTCTCGACAATATCACTCTTTTGACTGGAGATCGAGAGATGTGAGCCTTAGCAAACACTCGGACCATGCTTTACCTCTTGGGCACGCATGCGTATTGCAAGATCCTTTATCCTCAGATGGACCCAATTCCTTGCAGTTTTTCCCTCCGTTCTTAGGGCTGGGATTAGTACAGGTTCGAGTGCGTTCCCTTGTTCCTCCGCCACATGACTTTGTACATTGAGACCAGGCAGACCAACCGCTGTATTGGCCGTCCACAGGGACTATTGTAATATACAAAAAAGCACCAATCATTAAATTAAACGTCTTATTGGCTCATGATCGTTCAGGTCCAAATAAAGACCATCTACGTTCAAGCGAAGTCAAGTTCTAGAGAAATGACAAATCATCATTTAAAGGTGCAGTAGATGTTAAATGATGGCTGGTATAAAACATAAGGTGTTAAAGGCACTGATGTCGATTCGACATCATCATGCACTCAAAGATGCCTAAGGACTACCAAATCTTTATTCTCCTTTACTCAATACAATGTTGGTAGATCTGAATGTAAAAGATGCAGGCTGCTCATCACCTAACGAGAGGCAAAAATTAATAATGATGATGGGAATTCAAAGGAAAGGAAGAAGTGCCTTGAATATAAAAAAACACATTTTTTTGTTCGTGATTTTTGGTGTAGTCTTCGTTTTCACTACTTACGTGCAGTTACGTTGTTGTCCTCAAGAGAACATTTAAATCAAAGATTCATTAATAGAAATTTTGAGCCAAAATAATGCTTTTTAACATAAATACAAGCGATCGAAAATTGGTAAGAATGTATGGGATTATCACGTCTCAACGCGTTTTAGACTGTGATTTTGTAGCGAAACGCCACAAAGCGTTTCAAAACGGTCTTACTTTACAAAGAAATGTATTGAGACGTCATTAAGTAATCTAGTGCTCCAACATGGCGGTAACTTTGAGCGTCGAATTGAGCACAGAACTGATGATTATGCTTGACCTTTACAACAATATTGCCCTAAACATTTGATTTTAAGCAGAGACTATATAATTGATGTAAGATTAATAGGCTTTTCGAAGTTTTTCGTGATGTTTCAAGTCACGTGACGTGGCATATTTTTGAGCGTTAATTAATAACTTAACGGATAAACTGCAAAAAAAAAAGTTTTAACAATCAGCTCTTCAAGGTAAATTAGTGCACAGTGTGTCTGTGATTTTGGAATTTTTTTCGTGCAAAGCGTGTAAACCGAGAATATTTCAAAATATGCAATGTCAAGGAAATATAGTCATTACCTCGGCACATCTGTATGTTGCATCGTTTAGATTGTGCAGCTGATCCCTCGCAACGGTTTTCCATAGATGTGGAATTTTTGCAGTAGCGAGTGCGATTTTGTGTCCCTACTCCACAATTCTTGGTACATTGAGACCAACTGGACCATTCGGAGTATCCACTATTTTCTGAGAGTAAAGAATCACTCATCAAAATCGTTCATTAAAAAAAGATTTTTATATACCTCAACAGGGTATTGGAATATTGGTCACAAGATTTAGATTTCTGATATGCTGTTTATTGCGCATGATTGATATAATGACGTGCTAGAATCGAACTTTGTTGAGATCAGCTTGGCAATAAAAAGGGCACTAGTTAGTAGAGCGTACTTTTGTTGTAACGATGCGTTTACCTGGACAAATTCTTTTGTTACACATACTGGATTGAGTAGCTGTTCCCAGTCTACTACAATCTCTCCCTCCGTGCTGTGGTCTGGGATTAGTACATGAACGAGTTCGATTTCTAGTTCCTTCACAAGTCTGCGTACATGACGACCATGGTGTCCATTGTGAGTATCCACCGTCCACTAAAGAGAGCAATGTATAACGAGATACATATTTTAGTGCAGAAATCAAAACCCGTAGCTTCATCCCCCCCTTCTTTGTAGACCAATTGATATCGTCAATGTCAAACTTACTTCATGTATATTTGAAAGCCACAGAGCATCATAGCAAAGTGCGTGAGCAAATGCCTTCGCTTGAATATGAATGATTCGCTTTGAATAGCGTTTTGCTCACCGTGAACAGCAAAAATGCATGAAAACTGTGTGCACACGCTGATCATAGTTTTTCGCTCAATCGTTTCTTGTCTTGTTAGACAGGCTTAAAACTACATATCACCAAAAATTATGTGAAAAATTGAGCTTATGATATACTTTGCTTGGATGAAGTAAGCAGTTAAGGAAGTGTAAAGCACGAATAACTTTATTGGAGTAACAACAGGACCCATGTGACTTTTAAATAAGACTTTGTACATTCCGTTTTAGCTTTCAAATTCTATGATTATCTTTGATAATTTTGTGAAGAAATTAAACATTCAATGGCAATTCCTTTGGATTATCGATTGAATTTGCTAACAAACATTTTCCTGCCAGTATCATGTAAACAAGTTGAGTAGGTACGCTAACGCAAATTGGTTTCATATCAAGAAAGCAGTAAGAATTACCCTAATAATGCAATTTCAACTCCGAAAAGTTTCAACACGGATTTTCAAATGTTAAACATTTCAGACATCGATATATCCATTANACCTCATCTGAAAAATATTGATGCCATTTTCGATATATTTTTTTTCGATATTTCGGAATTACAGCCCGTTACCTAAATAAGTGCAATAGACAAATGCATCACGGAACGCATTAAGAACATCTTAAACGTAAAACAAGTTGTTTTTTCGGGGTTGATGAGATGTTTCAAAGTTTTGAAATGGAAGATTTCGTTCTGAGTAAAGGTAGGTCTCTTCTATCATATATCTCTTTGTTATATTCAAAGAGAATCTGCATTGCACATCAATGAGTTCTTACTTGGGCAAGGATTTGTATTGCAGCTTTGAGATTCCGTCGATTGACCAAGTAGGGTTTCGTTGCAGTCTTTACCGCCGTTCAGGGGCCTGGGGCTGGTGCATGCGCGGAAACGTCGTTGAGTTCCTCCACCACATGTCTTGTTACAAAGAGTCCAGTAACTCCACGGTGAGTACTGACCATCAACTAATAAGAAAAAAAAAATTATTTGTAGATCTTAGTGTATAGCTTTGTACATTGGTCTTATTTTCTATTATGGAGCTTATCACTATATGCAGAATTATTATTGGAAACCCAATTGCGTCCTGGTATTCACTCCTGTCCAATCTCTATCACAACAATAGGCAATTAACATAATATATCTTTTATCAGTTGATTTATTTGTAGGTAGTCATTTGTACATTGTAGTATTTTCTTCCCATGCCCCCTTTTGGTCTTAGCTTTTATAATGCAACCTGAATACAACTACGTATTTTCAATTTGTTGTATGCAAATGATTTTTCTGTTGTCTTTATGTCTTTACAATTGAACATCGTTAATGGGATTGACTGTAACCTTTAACTGAAGGAGGAGTTGAAGTTGAGGAAAGAGGCCTAGATGGCTGCCATTCATCACTTTCTGTTGGATGTAATGAAGTTCCATACAATATCAGGGACCAACTGTAGAGTGTATCTCGTGTACCTAAACATTTCAAAAATAATAGTCAGACATTCAGAGTCGCAGGTTATGATGAATCCAGTCAGGCCCGCGGATTAGGGAGTGTTTCTCTTCGATTAGCGAGAGTTAGGGAGAGTTCCATAGAAATAAAAAATTTAAATTTTAAATAAAAAAAATTAAAATACATTTTCCTGAAATTAGTTACTGTAGCCCGATAGCTGGACTGATGATGTCCACAGTGAAGTGCGGATGGCTGGATAAAAATAGTATAGGTGTTAGATATTGACGGGTACAAATATCGCTGCGTCTGTCTCAACGTAACAATCTCAACCGAACACTTACATTGCTTATAATATCTTATATATCATATAAAAGAAAAATGTCATCAATTGACTAAGTATTACCTCTAGTATAATAATAATAATAAAAAGGATCTAAATTTGTAACTTTCAGCCTCCATTCACCCACAGGATTCTCGCCCCAATTGAACAGTGTTGTAATTGCCCAGTTTGTCAGATTTTTAAATCCCGTAAGGTTGTCGATCCTTCGACGACGCGTTAGAGGAGAACTGGTGCCACTTGGAGCTGTTAGTTCTAGTCCTAGATCTCCTCGTCTACCAAAACGAAGATTAACTTTGACTTGCACATGTTCCAAGTGAGTAATGTTACAATTAGCGTTTGATACTGAGACATTAAATGTTGCTGGAATTGTGCTGAAATAGAAGGGGGTGTCAGTTAGATCTTTACATAAATCTTTTTTTTCGTCCGTCTAAAACATCTTTTTTAGCCTGTTCTTTGAAATTTTTAAGCAGACATATTGAAGACAAAAGTTGACAAAAATGGGGAAACCTGAAACCGCCATTATTGCGATGACTTCTATTAAAAAACGAAGGTTAAACCTCGAATTTCTAATCTACTTGTTTGTTTCGGTCGCCATTTTACTAAACAGCCAGGCAATTTCATGTCATAGACCGCTGGCTAAATTAAATGATAAAGAAAGAAAGAAAAGCGCGCAAAAATACGAATTTTTTAGTCCGGCATCTTTGTACTCTGACAGTACTCGTTAGCGTTCGTGAAAAAAATTATACATCCGTACTACACAATGTCTGATGTTCTCAATTCAGTTGAATTAAGAAGATTGACGACAAAATTGCTTTCAAAACTACTCCAGAAAGGCACTGTAATATAGGGAAAATGTTGATGCAAATGTGTTAATGAGCAACCGCAGACAAAATCATCGCGGTAACAAAATGTCTCGGATTGCTGGTAATAATTAAACAGAAACATTGACGTTATGACCTGAATGGAAGGCTTAAACTGACTGGTAGCAAAGGTAAAACTAAGCAAAACTGAATAAAAAAAGAAATTTTGGATGTTTTAGAGATATTTCGCATGCACCGTTAAGAATTTCTCCCTCAGAATCTATTTTCAGGAACATCCAACTCCATCAAGCAATGTTTGTGGACGAAAAAAATATTTAGCAATGGCTGTTGTTGACCACATTTTCTACTGCTGTCAACATTTTAGTGCGTCGTAAGTAACAACCAAGCAAGTATATCATTCAAGATGATGTGAGGAAACAAAAAGAAAAATAATGATTAATATATTTATAAGATTAACGGATATGATTGAATGTATGACCACCAGAATCAAGTGAAAAAAAGAAGAACGAGAAGAAAAAAGTATAAAAGTTGTGCGAAGAAGAAATTTGAAGAAAATGAAACAAAACCTTCCAAACCTGTTAATGTCACTGCCTTTTATCTCACATCTTTGTTGAGGGGGAACTGTTTTCCATTGTTTTGCAATTCGGACCATCTCCCCTGCGTCCATTAAACCAAACCCATAGAATTTACTGACTGTAAAATTAGCCTTGTTAGTTTGCCAATCTCCACGCTGAAGTTCCTTTCCTCCTGGTGCTGATCTCGAACTTCTCACGATAATATGCTGCACATCACGCCAGGTTAGGTTGGGACTGTTAGTCGAACAAAGATAAAATCCGTATCTATTAGTTGCTATTCAACATCGAATAGATCATTGTTGACCATTGTCGCATGCTATTCTATGTTGAATATCAACTAGGAATATGAATTTATTGCTTTATTGCTTTCCAAAAATAGAAGAAAATATCTGATGTATAGATGACTGTTCTATGAAGTTAGATGAACGCTTCTAGTTATCGACATCAGTTGATATAAGCACATCAACAAATATTAACAAATCAGATATGCATGTTTTTTGGTAATCAATCAAATTCAGTGATCGTATACAATTGTCCTTGCCAGCTAAATGGTATATTGAATAATTCTTACTTAGCTTGAAGAGCCAAAGCAATCAGACCAGAAGCCATCGCTGTAGACGCAGAAGACGCACCAAAAGCCTTACTGCATCCGTTCTGCCCATCAGTTGTTATCTATAAAAAGAAAAAGACAGAAAATGACTCCATGTATTTTGTAATTGTTGTGGCGATCATTGAAAACTATCATCTTAGTTTCTGAGGCTAAACGTAGGTCAGGCAATTCTAAATCTCAAAGTACCGTGCTTGTGCATACAACGATGTCGAACAGTATTATTTCGGTCTTTATTCCATTTCTCTTGTTCTATTAATTGAAATTTCAAAAAAAAAATCGATTGCCTGACGTTTATAGATACTCCGTAAATCTTCACTTACAACTTCCCCAATTCGTCTTAGTGTGTCTCGGCTGTAAGCCGTTGCCATGATACTAGGACACTCTTCTGCATAAGTAGGGTTTGAACCATCTTCGTTRACACCGTTGATGGCGATAGTGTAGATACTGTTAACATAACCATTATAGGCACAGCTGTCCTGGGTTATACCGCCATTACCAGCTGCAAATGTGTAGATGGCACCCAAACCATTACGTCCCTGGAAGTATTGAAAACAAAGCGTCAATTTCTCAATTTCAATTTGGTGTGTCTGATTCCATCGTGTTTAACCAGCTGAGCTACAAAGTCAAACTGTGAAAAAGACGTGGACTTAAGTGAAATCATTACCTCTTCTACTCCGCGTTTAAGAGCAGCTTTGGTCTTTTTGCCAGGACCTTCTACCTGCCATCCCATGTCCCCAGGGCCCCAGCTATTAGAATAGATGTCCACTTTGTCCAGCTTGTGGACCAAGGCTTTCGATTCTGTAGCATCAGTTGATTTGATGTTTTCATCAAAAAGGCGAATCCCTGATAACAAAAATAATATCTGAGAAAAATCTCTGTTTTCATTCAGACATTGAGCTCCATTGGACCCCAGTATMCCAATGGCATAATATAGATCAGAAATATTTAATAAAAAGATTTATCATATAATTATCTATGAAATACCTATATTTCTCCATTTCGTAAAATTTATATTTTCACTAGTGAAAATAACAAAATATCACATTTGAAGTTTCTGTATATAGTCGAAGTAATAAAAAAGGTATTTTACGACATAATTTGCTTTCATAGCGGAGCTCCCGCGCGGGCCGAAGCCCCGCGCGAGCGGAGCACCATAGCTAAGAAAAAATGGTATACCATCGAGTCGATTTTCCATGGACCGACACAGGGTTCCCGCGCGTACGCACGTTTCAGTCCGTCCTGGATTCCGTGTACCACCACAGGAAACCCATACTCCGCTCGAAAAGGAAACAAAGCGCCAAGTATTTTTTGAAAAATCGAAATTTTGTCCTTAAACATTTATATTACATATTGATAATATTAGAACAATTAATAACAAGGAAAAAATCCACTGAAGAGCGAAATAACAGCACAGAAATATTCCCGCCAATTTTGTCATAACTTCGACGCGTCCGCACATCACATGAAAAAGCAATTTAGGCTCATCTTAAAAGTGATATTAGAAACGAGGATTTTACTTTGATATTTCGACAACAAAAAGAGATGATACTCTATTGGAAATACTTCAATAATATGGACCAATATGGGAAAAAGCAGGGATCTATGCGAAGTTCTTTTGTCGACTAAAAGTGTGGACATTTCGAAACCAAGACCATGCTAGCAGTTAGATTGAGAGAGATTAAAAACAAAGAATCTACAGTCTTGAATGACTTAATAAATTGATGAAACCTATGCTTGAAACAAGTATGGCTCTGTTGAAGATGACCTTTGAACGATAATTTATCGGAAGTTCGATAATGAAGGTAAAAAATATATTTTTGTATACAGTTTTCTGTGATATGTGAAGTTCGAGTAGTCCGGGTTCAAACATCGATTATTGAAACAATGTTTAAAATTATTGTAAGCTTATGTAGACTACTTTTTGCCGAGAAGCTTTCAGTTTACTTTTAATTATAATTTTAAACTTCATCCAACGGAACAAAATCTATCGAAGTCAATATAATAGTACGAACTAAATTCTCATAAATATACTCTTTATAATATTTGTTCGCATGTCAACAAGACTGTTGTAGCTCACATTCCTTAGAAGAGAGCATCTACCTTTGAAATAGCAGTTTCAGCTTCTATATTGCTATTGGAGCTCCGCTATTAGGTGTTACCTAATTTTTATATTATGTAATTATATGATAAACAGAATATTACATGGTCGCTTGGAGATACGGATTTTATATTTATATTTTTCGCTACGCTCACTCGTGAGAGATCTTTTCAACACTCGAAGATAAAATCCGTATCTCCGCGCGCCCATGTAATATCCTCTATTTATTAAATATTAAAATATTTAATAAATATTTAAAAACATATTATAAAAAAAACAAGAAGGATCTTGATAGTGTCTAAAGATGCCGCTTTTTTAGTTGATGATATCAGAACAAATCTGACAAGGTGCTCTACAACCCCTTTTTTCAGGGTCCTTGGATTTCTCATCTAATGTATGTAGAATTAATTGCAGTTGAAATATTGAGGAACTGCTTGATGCCCTTCTAGAAGTCGGTCGTTAGGTCAGTGGTGCGTTTTTCACATATTCATCAGTACACATTCTAGCTACAATGCGTCTAAAAATCCTCGTTTGAATACAGAGTTGTTTATAAATATACCAACAGCTTCATCAACACATAGATTTAGCATTGAAGGATATAGTTAATAATCTCTGACAGAACTAGTACCTACTTACCTATAATTTCAGCATCGTATGCAATCCCAACACCGCACAAGCTATTATTTGCATTACCGGCAATAACACCTGCACAATTGTTGCCATGCCTGTAAGTAATGAGTAAGAACAACAGTTGGTATCTATTGATTTCTTTGTCTCACAATGCTAGCTGAATGAACATGCCCTTTTCATTGCATTTTTCATTAATGCAAACGACTCCGATGAAATAAGTCAATTTTTTAACACTCAAACCCAAAAACAATGAATGAAGGACACAGAAAACGTCGCCCTGGCTACTCCTGGCCAAAAAAAGAAAAAAAATCAAAAACCTTTCAAATCTCTATTTTTTTTTTTGGATAGTTGGATACGATCATGAAATCTGCGCAAACCCAGGCTGATTATTAATGCGGGAAAAGTTGGAAAAAAAAAGAGTATATAAAACCTTCCACTATTATCGTCCCATACAAATCAAGAAACTTGGGAAACACCGACGCATTACAATCGACGAAAGTGCAAAGCACAGATTATGCAAAAGGAAGAGAAAGAAAGATTGGAGTCAATGGATGAAGAAAGCAGCGGCATACCCTGATACGCGTCTTCCTTTTGGCCTTGGATCGGTGTCATTTTCCAGGAAATCAAAGCCCGCTGAGAATTTCTGAAAAGGACAGGTTCACAAGATTTATTAGAAAGTCAGTTACGGAGCTTGCTCCTTCCATCAAATAGCCTTTTAACTCAATTTCGAACAGATCCCTGTCTCAATTTGACGTACTCTTATTTATCTATAAATGTTTACACATTTCACTTTAATATTTTACTGAAATCATCAATTTGCTATATGCATGGCTGTCGTGCGAAAAATAAAGTCTTTGTGATAAAAAAACAGCTTGTTTGGCAATCAAAAGCTATTTTTGATGTTTAATAATCAATACTGTTGTTTTGACCAAGATAGAGTAAACGCATTTTATCAGTGAAATTGTACAAAATCAAAATACCATAATTTTGCATTAATTTATACATACGTAGTTGCGTATCAAATCAGGGTGACGTCCATCTACACCATCATCAACCACAGCAACAACGACTCCTTTCCCGGTATATTGTGGCCATACAGACGTGACATTGAGAGTCTGACCTCTTTGTCTGTTCTAAAGAACATGTTTCAAATATTTTCACATGTTGTTCATATATTAGGTATTAAGCTCTAAAGTAGTAATTTTGAAGCGTTTTGTTTTCTACTTACGATGTACCACTGTTTGCTGAACAGCGGATCATTAGGCTCACGAAAAGCTCTCCTTGAACTTTTCTCTTTTTCGAGTGAGAAACTGTTGCTATCAAACTAAAATACATTAATGTAACACTTTCAATTATTGTTGATGCGAAAGCTTAGTTTACAAATCTAGTTCATGAAATTGAGAAAATTGAAAGTGACAAAAAAAAACAATTGCAAAAATTAAGCACATTAAGAGACAGTCTTTGTAAGGATTGAGCAAACTCGGAAATGGCCCAAAAATCACCCCACCTCAAGTAGGTACACTTCAACTGCATAAAGATGGATGTAGTATTGAACACTCGTGGATGTCAATTATATTTTCGTAATCCTCTATGGTTACGGTAACTTTTTGTGCATTCAAATCCGTGGGCAACTATTTACTTGAATCTCAAAATCTCAGATAATTTATGCTAATTTTTGATTTCGCCAAAATCACGCGATCAAAAGTCATTATCAAAAAAGTAAACAAAATTAGTCCAGCTTTCTTGAAACTCTTCCAATTGCCTAGAAATGTTTTAGAATATCACATCACTCAAATAAGCCGTTATCTTTTTGAGTTTTCGATTAATTTTGAAATTACTTCTCTCATAATTACGACACAGAATAATATGCTAATTAGGTAAACAAAGTGCACGGAGGCAATTATCCCACGACTTTTGGACGACTTTATTCCAAAATTATTTCAAAACGGCTTTTGTAACTATTACATGCATAATTCCTTCAATATATAAATAAAACAAGCAATAAATGATGAATAAAGAGGATTATTTCGACGAAAATCTAAAGACTTGCATTGTATGGCATGGGTAGTCTTGTGAGATTCGCGCAGCTAATAAAATAAAATGTGAAATTGTTTGACTGGAGTAAAAATATCAAGTGAAAATAAAAATACAAAAACTACATCATATCCTTTAATGCTCTGTTAGTAAAATGTAATGGAAATGAAATGAAATATAATGGCCTTCATTCTTCTGAATTAAACTTTTAATATACCACTCTTCTTTTATTTTTTTTTTTTTTCGGCCTTTTTTAAAACAGTTTTCTGGAAGGGACAAAAGATAAGGACTAGGAAAAAACGTTCTCGCTTGCCTCCTTCGTGATTCTTGCCTATCTCTTGACTTTCTTTYCCAARACATTGTTCTTCTGCTCACTTATTTTTACATTCGCAGCGTAGAATAAATTCATGTAAGGCTTGAACATAATCGCCTTTCTTCCTTCCTTTTACTTTGATGGAAAAGTGAGTTGTCATGCTTCTAAGTGCCACTACCTTCAAATTGGTCAACTGGGCTTCTGTCATCTCACAAATGTTTTTCCCAGAAAATCGAAGCGGGTGGACATTGATCTTCYTGTTTAGAGATGTTTTGAGACTTTGACTTAAAACAGCTTCCTCTTGTCGTTGCTCATCTGYTTCTTCATCTGACAAGGAGATTTCCTTCTTCTTTGCRGTAAGGCGCGAGAAAAATGATTGGATTTGTTGCGGTCGAAGAAACTCTTCAAAGGAAAAAAGGSRCTCTCCATTYGCATCTGTGATAAACCTCATCTCTTTGGCTACATCGTCCCCTGTTCGCTTATTGCCTGTTCGCTCGCCTTCTAAATACGTCTTCTTGAGATACTCCTTTTGCTTCTCAGAAAACCGCTTGCGAGTTTTTCCAGCGTCGTGTAGAGCCCATCCTTGTGATGACAATTGATGGCACCTTTCTTTCGATGTTTTAGTAGGTAAAATAACACTTCCCTTCGCTCCAGCTTCTAAACGCTCTGCGTATCCAATCTTTTTAGCTTTATCTAATAGACTCATCTTCTCCAATCTGTATTCATGTTTCCCGTACATCATGTGCTGCTCTAGTCTGCCATGGCTCATGTACGTCTTGATGCAACCATCTTCAGGACAGGCGAACAAATCCTTGCTTTGTGATGGCCGTGGTTCTTCTGGTTCGCCGTGATCACCATGTTGGTCTGGATGACTATCGTCTACTGCATCTCGACCATGCTTCCTACCCTTAACCAGTATGAAATCTCCATCGCCAACTTTATCAGAATCTATCCAGGGAAGCGTTTCTATCTTACTTAATCCTGCAATACAGAAATATAYGTGTGTTCAACTACACTTGCTTGCAGRTATGTATAATTTACGTCGTCTTTGAGGATATATGAAGGGTGACATACATTGGGATGCAGATGTACATTTGCGACATTGGAAGAGAGCAATCAAAAACAGATAAAGACAGATATACAAAAAAATGATCGGATACAGCATCATTCGACGTCTTACCTTCATAATCAGACCAACGCCACGATATTCCTGTCCCTACTTGATACGCTTTATACGCCTTTACCCCGCTATTTGTGAATACAAAGTTGAATAGTGTGCTGATGCCGTCAATCTTCAAATCGTCTAAATCAGGTAATTG